TTCTACTTGTCAGACAGTGAGTTTTTCATTCTTTTGGAGATTGTTGTGCTTAAGTCTTACGAACCAAAGGGCTGAAGGAATGTTTCAGTGAGCACATTTTCAAGGAAAAGCTCTCCAAAATTCATTGAAAACTTTCATACAACGACCGCGTGATTTCTATAGACCAAGAATTCCTAAAGATAAACTAAGGATGTAACTTTGAAGGGAATTTCCAACAGATACATAATAATAGGTTGGCGCATAGGTTCTGCGACACATATCACTCTTGAAAACCTTACTATTTTACAATACATAGAAAGTGTCATAACGCAACTTGCATGAACCGTTGGGCACGATAGGTGATAGGAAGCAGTAGGGATTCTACCGTACAGAAAGCCATTGAATAGAGTTAGAGCTTATGCGCCAACCTGATATTAGATTTAAAGGCAGCGATTACGATAAGAGGGAGCGCATCGGGGAAGCATATGCACCACACGAATCAGTTACTTGGCTGCCAGGGAAGCGAGGTGTGGCGCTTCCACGACGAAAGAAGGTGCGCTGGTTGCTGAGCAGGACTTCGAAAGCACTCCGCCCCCAAAAGCGATCCGCCCACTAGTTTACTTGGTGATTTGGACGAGCTGCGTTGCCAGCAGCGGCACAACTGAAGCAACTCGATGGAGCATGGTTTGGCATGCTGCACCAAACGCGTTGCGGTGAACTCGTTCATACGTCCGCTTTCTGAGCTGTTACCTGTTCATGAGTGAAAACCAACGGCCAAAAAAGGGGGTCCCGTTTTGCGTTTTCTTGACGGATTTCTCCGCTTTTTTCGCCACTGGCGTACCATTGAGCACCACCAGTCTTCCTATAAACCCTTCTTGAACCTATCGTAATCACTGCCTTTAATTACGAATTCTCTTTTAAATATCACCTCTACCACCTGTTATCCCGTTGGTTATCGCTCTGATCTTTTAGATATATGTAAGTTCGGACCAAGAAGCGCTGCATAATTTTGAAAAAAAAACCAGTTTTCAGGTTCAGGTTTCCCTTGCCTTTTTATAGTGATCTACTACGTAGGACAAGTAACACTTATAAATCACTATCTTCAGTAATATCAACCCCTGATGGAAATGCAGTGTGATGGAGAACAAATCGAAAACTCACATCAACAGTTTTTGTCCGGGCGGCGAGACGATTAGTGATTGCAGTAATGTCTTCACGGTCACCTGAACATTTTCATTTTTTTGCAGACTGATAGCGGTTGCAACCAGTTGGCTAGGGTTGGACTAGCAATTTCAATAATAGCATTTTTTTAGGAGAGGTGAGTTCCAATAACCAAGAAATTATTAGACACATGTTCGAGCGCTAGCGAACCCATTCATTGTGTTCAAAAATACGCAGAAACGACCAGTGCTGAAGCGAATGTATCCACTTGAGTTTAGCCATGAAGCCTTTCAGTATGAGCCTTCTAGGGCTAATACAATAGAGGGTGGAGGAGAGGGAAACTTGAAAGCGAATCAGTGGCCCAGGCAGCGCGACCTGCTCGTCAAGTTGAATCTACGGATCTAATAACTCGGTAACTTGTTAACAAATTTTGACTCAACCTTATGTTATGGCAGGCAGGAAAAAGCAGCGCAATGATAAACTAGCTTTCATTATTCTATTCCAGCAGGTCTATTAATTCACGGTAGGAGCCCTTGAAGAAGGAGCCTTACGACTCATAGCGGGAGGAAGCTTATTTTCTTCTTTTTTTTTCGAGCCTGATTGCTATAAGAAGAATGAGCCCAAACTGATTGCTATGACGTACCTGACAGTCGAGTAGTACAGTCGTGACACTGACGCTGTTCAGCAGTCCAAAATTTGTTCTTTTCTGTTCAAGCATTGATGCGGCTCCCTAGAGAATGAACATATTTGCTGATGAACAATTTAGACGAGGTCGAAGCGACAAAGGGAAAAGGACACTTCATAGGTCAAACTTACGGATGCAAAATCTCCTCATGCTAACCTAGCCCACGTAATGAGCAGAGCTGTCTGGTCTAGAAGGACAGAAACCTAATTCTCGTTCTGGAGGGGTAGAATGCGTCGTTCCTTTTTAAGAGGGGTTGATCGAGAAATCCGCTCCTCGAAGGTGTGCAAACAGTTAGACGAATGTAGCAGAGACCAAATTGTGCGTTCGAGAAAATGGAGAGCCGCGCTAGCCTTCTGCAATCTCATTCTGTACAGAGAGGTCGTTAAGGTTTTCAAGCTTTTTCAAAAATGGGACTTTTGCATATATGGGGACAGGAGGAAACCACAGAACCATGGTTAATTTTTCCTGTACGACTCTCTGAATACCAGAAAAGCGGGTCCCTAGTCACACCTTGTTCACTAGTTTTTCAGTCAAAGTCTACTTGTAAGGGTTGCTGACGGTCCTAATCATGAATATGGTAGTAATCTTCGTATTAATCATTTTGCGCGAATCGCGAATTTGGGGCTCAACTCGAAAAAAATACAAAAATTTGTTACCACGAGGAATCGAACTAGGGACCCTCTTTTCTAGTATTCAGAGAGCCGTTCAGGAAAAATGAACCATGCTTCTGTGGTCCCCATATGCGCCCCAATGTCATGCAAGAAACCATTTTGAAAAAGCTTGGCACACCTCTGAACGACCTCCCTTGTAAGACGTTGAAGGAAAGCAGCTGACTGGATCGATACGCATCTAATCCTTCTGGTTGAACCTTTTCTCCTGTCCTCGTCTTCTTTGGTCTACATTTAACGCTTTTCGCAGAAAGTAACATTTTTAGATACAAATAAGAAATTACCTCAACTGTTCGACCCGTTTCTCGACTTCATCCAGCATATTCACGACCTGCTCATTGAAATCGTCAATACTTCGATTTCGCATCAAAGTCATCGTCATAGGACGGGAGTTGGTCGCCATCTGTAAGAGCTTCATCAACCAACTAAGCACTTGTTACGCAAACCAATGGCTCTGCGCAAAATCGACAATAATTCGTGGCAATTAAGACTTAGCAATCATTGGCCTGATACAAAACACGTGAAAAACGATGAAGAAGCAAGCCTCATGCGAATAGGGAAAGCCGTAAGTAAAAGTGTTAGTTAGAATGTTAGACTGTGCCAAGCTGATAAACGATCAAACCTCATCGATGCTGGCTGTGGTAGAAGTGTTCGAAGCTGGTGGCGGTGATGGAGATGGAGCTAGAGGAGGCGGTGGCGGCGGTTTCTCGACGATGATGGTGTTGTGCGTTGTCGTCGGTGGCGGTGGTGGCGGAGCTTCAGAAGCTCTTTGAATAGTGATCGGAATGATTCTAGCGGCCATCTAGTAGGACTTGTTGAGTGCGTACGAAATCACGAAAAGGCTGTTCGAGCTTCAATGGAATGTCTGGCGAGAGAGGACGAAATAGGCAGAGCCGAATGCGATGGCTATTGTCGGGACGAGTGCTGCAGCCTATTCATAAAACGCACAATTTTTATGACGATATTCGAAAATCATTGAATGAGTCACGACGCAGCAAACAGAGAAATCGCCATTTGATAAGGGATTGGCTTTTCATTGAAAAGCTCACATTCCTGTGATAAGACTGATTAGGGGTTACCCTCAGTGTCCCGTGTTTCCGCCATGAAACCAGTTGTTTTTACTGTGGATCAATTTTTGGGAACATATTTCAAAACAAATAAATCAGAATTCATCATGCAGAAAAACGTAATTGACTCCATAAATGGAAAACGATAGGAAATATTAGAAAAGAAAATATTTTCAATCATTTTAAATAATGTTGTAACTTTAACCGTTTTGAGCGTTTTCCTCACTATATTCGAAGTCCTCGGATGGAGCATTCAACCGAATCAGGTTCAAGTAGTTCCCATGAGGAGACCTGGCGCAAAAAGGATTGCAAAGGGGCTGGGATGCCCCGCGAGCTATTGTATGGGCCTAATATGCATTGCAATGTCACGACGGAACTGAATGGGGATGAAATGTGATTGCACTCGGACAGATTGATCAGGGCTGAGCGCTTTGCCCTTTCCCGGCCACAAAATGTCATAGGGGATTCCCTTTGCTTCACATAGAATTCTTGAAGTTTTTCTAACTCAAAACTACTTGGAAAAATACCCGCCGTAATTATAGGGAACAAAACGAAGAAAATGCGGATTCGAATTTTTTGTTTTGTTCTGAACAATTAGGGAGGGTTTTGCACTTGAAAAGATGAAGAGAAGAATCTGATGGCTGGTGGCTGAAGAAAACGGATTTCCACAAGCCTTCTCGTGTGGCAAGATCACGACCCTGGAGCAGGACTGGTTGGGGCCAAATGGTAAAATGATTACACAAGAAAACTGGAATCGATACCTAAAGGTGGACAATACCGTGGAGGCGACACGCCTTACCCATCAAGCAAACCCTCCTATATCAATTTTCAGATGAACACTTGAACGGCAGTTTTTTTAAGTGAAGAACCATTGTTCCATAGGTGGGAAATCTCCCTTCTTGAGATGAACGACAAGAAATAGGGACAACTAGCAGGGGATAGAAAACAGGAAATTCAAGGGGTTTCCGACAACATAATCAAATCGTTTATTTGTTCAGCTACATTTATGAGCTGGCCGCAGTTGTACACCTCTTTGTGTCCACACCAATTCTGAATGGATAGTTTTTTAACTGGCACCGATTGAAGCTGCAATAAGTGAACACGTGCTCTAGTGAAACAGTTAGCGAGAGCCGGAGATGACTGACGTTCACCCATTGTCTCCCTCTAACCATGGGCGGTGTCCAGTCCTTCCCCAGGCTAGGAGAAAAGAAGATGCCTTGAAAGCTTCTTCTTCTCTTTACCAAAATCGCATTAAAAAGAGGCCTAACTGAAATGGATGTGTTTGTAAAAGTAAACATGTACTGAAAGTAAGGAAACTGTCCCGTTGAAAACCAATAAGTCTGAAAGGTTTTCTTCCCTTAGCCTGGGGAAAGGAGTGGATACGGTCCTATAAGATCGAAGTCGTGGCGGAAGTTGGACGACTGTTGCGTATTTCGAATTCCCTCTCTAGTTCTTCACAGGTTTCCCAACCCCCGCCCACATTTTGCCTTCTTATTTCTACGCAGAGATGCTGAAGGGAAATTGTTAGATCGAGGCAAAATATTTGAATCAAAAACATCCGGGAGGGGAAGGGGAACAAAAAAGTTCTTTAACCTGTTTCGCGCAGTGCTATGAAGCAAAAGCCAAACTAGCGAAATTATACCCCCCCGCCCAAATTTTCTTTTCTGCTAAAATACAACGAAATAGTATAGTGTTGCATGGGAAAGGTCAAGGATGAATGGCTGAAAGTCGTACTTCCCATCCCGAGCGCACTAACAATTCGAGTGCAGGATCGTCAAAACATATGAATGCAGATTTGGCCTGTTCAGTGCCTTTTGAGGACCGGCTGATGTTCCATTTTGGTCATATCAGACAAAATCCGTGGGAATGACCAACTCAATGGAAAACAAATCTACAGTACCATATACGAAAATCGGTTCAGACAATAGTGCGGTGGAGCTTCCCCCTTCCTTTCCTCCCACCACTTCCGCTTTTCTTCTCCTGGTTTTGTATGTAGTTCTTTGTAGGTGTTTGTAAGTTCTGTAGTAAGA